AACGTTTTTGCGTTTTGTCATTATTTAATGACTGACGAAATTTTAAGGTGGTGCGAACATTTTCCTGCGTTTTCTCTAAACTTTTAAAAAGAATCACAAAACTGTAGAAAAAACGCATGAAAATTATCGCACCACTACGCAACTTCGTGAGCCATTAAAGAATGACAAACCACAAAATCGTTATATTTGTTCACGTCACTCCCATCGATAATTTGCCAGAAAAATGAAAACAACGTCAATTTTGGCTAAAAGGGTGTCGAACATCCTTAACAGCAATAGAGATTTTTATATAAAAAGCTCATGACGGTATTGTGTAACTTGATAAGCAATGATGCTGTTCTCACCATTTTTCAACTTGATTAAGAAGCCATGGAAATATACTTTCCAAGCCCTCCCTTCTTTCAGTAATAATGAAACAACCGATTTCCTCTTTCAAATCGCATGAACAATGTGCTGTAACTCAACAACGAATTGTGCAACCCCCATCATATTCTGATAAAATCAAGAGGGTATTGTTATCAGTTTTTTGGGCCATGACTAATTCCATTTTGCTGACAATTTTTTGAGTGATCGTTTAGTTAAAAATCTATTTTAATTGGTGCCAATGAATAGAGTTTATTAAAGACAATTACCTCTTTCCAAAGAAAAACACCATATTTATTTACTTTAACGCAAAAAATTGGAAGCTTCGGCTCGCAAGCAAAGAAAAGAATTATTGATTGAGGTAATCCATCAGATGCCGACGCCAGGGGAATCCTAGTGGCTGCAGAGAAGGGCCACGCCGAGAGACTAGCCATTCTCCTGGACAAAAATCCAGCCCTGATAAGCGTCACAGACAAGGATGGGTACACACCCCTTCACCGGGCTTGTTACGGAAATCACGTGAATATAATTGAAGTGAGCATTCCCAAATTTAATAAAAACCCTCCAAAATCCACCCAATCACAAATAATTACACTTTTATCAATTAATCAACAGTATCTGCTGCTGAGAGGTGCCAAAATCGACGCGAAAACAATCGATGGCTGGGAGCCCCTGCACTCCGCCTGCTGCTGGAACAACGTAAATAGTATTTCCATGCTCGTCTCCAACGGTGCCAACGTAAACGCAGTGACAAACGGAGGCCAATCCCCCCTTCACTTAGTTTCAGCAAGTTCCCACAACTCCCCAGCCCTTCAATTTCTCCTCCTCCACCCGGACACCAACAAGACATTAGTGAATTCCAGTGGCGACACTCCACAAATGATCGCCACGAGAACAGGAAAGTACTATCCAATATTCGAGATGATAGAGCCATGCTTGAACGAAATATAAAGTGCCTCCCCCACTCGCCTACTTCATCCATAAAAAATGTGATAAAAGAGAGTGAATGGTTATTTTTTCGATTAAAAAACTATTTATTCATTTATTGGAATTTCATATTAAAAAATATTTCATCACCAGTAATGAGGAAACATTGTTTCAATAGTTACAATTGCTACATATGGACATATCGTACAGTATAAAAAATATAATAATCAGAGTATTAAATCTATCACTAGAAGCATCACGAGTATTGCTAAATAGGAAATTATAAAATAATACTATTGTACATGAAATCTTTGTTCACAGTTTAAAGATATCTCATTCCACAATATTTTTTTTCACTTCACTTATTCGGTATTAATCATTTAAAATAATCAACGATTCGTTGGAAATTACACTTTGGCTCGATATAATTCAGATACAAATATTAACAATTAATCAGTACGTGATTGACTCACTTGTAAAAATATATGGCTCTGGGGCTGATAATGCGATTGATCGTGTGGCTTGTAAAATTGTTAATAATGTCGATTGTAATGATAAAATAACGTATGATTATACATTGAGAAATATCACGAAATTTTGACTCCTGCTGTGTAACCGGGCTAATTATCGTGTCATAGTGACGTGAGATTCACGAATTTCGGTGTTCCATTGCTCAGGCGTCTCATACCCTCCCAAATTAATACAGTCGAGTCTTCAGTTGCTGCGTAAAGGTGGTGCTGATCGAGGGCCCAGGCTATAGCTATTATTGCACCACAGCCTCTTCCACCGTTCACTATTTCTCGAACTAGTCTCAAGTCCCAACTGCTCCACAGTCTAAAAATAATATTAAAAAATTCTTAATTAATTATTTCAGTGTTAAAAATCGAAGATATAACTAGTTTTCTTTTTAAAAAATCATATTCACGTTTTATAATTTCCTATAATTATTTCGACAGCTATATAATGCATTTTATGCATTTCCCTTAATTTTTTTTACAGAAAAAAAAATTATAAAGCCCATTGTGACTGAATATTTTTCCTTTTCGTTGCCCCTTCTCATTACCTTATCACTCCATTGTCGAGGCCCGTCGCAATAACATTGACAGAGACCCCCTCAGGCGCATTGCTGTAGCACAACGCTGTTATCCTCCTCTTGGACAGTACAGCTCCAACAGCTCTAGCATTAATCGTATAAACTCGTAGCTCAGACCGATTATCACCAGTCTCCTCGCTCTCCTTCAACTCGCAAGTAACCGCAATATCCCCGAGTGTTTCACTTATCGACAGAAGACCGATCGTGTGTGTACGATCACAGACTATTGACCTCACGTAAGATAAGCTGAAAGTATGAAACACGCATTAACACCCCATTTACTGCGCCAGAGAGTAAAAAAAGCGAGAATAATTTAGCAGAAGTATTCCCTCACCTGTTCAAATCCCAGACGACAATGACCCCCTCATCATCCCCAGTGACAGCGATGCTGAAGGCTCTCGACAGAGCAATAACTCTAACTGCACACCTGTGTGCCAGCAAAACTGACGCTGGTCCCAGCCCAAATTCAATCTTGCCAGCAGCCTCGACATTATAAGAATGCACAGTGATCCTCCCCGAGAGGTGACCGATCCACAGTTGTCCACAATCAGCAGCAGACCCCAGGATGGTGATGGGATCGTATCCAGAACTTTTGATCAAAGGCCTCGGTGGCTGTTCCTTCTTGCACTTGAGCCTGGCGATGCCATCGCTGCCACTCCACGACGCCAGTGCAGCCCCCAGAACCGAAGTTCCACTCAGCATGTTCGTTCCCTTCTCCTTCGTGTACCTCAGCAACAGAGTCGTGCAGACCGGAAGCCCAAAGACGTCTCCAGTGGAGAGGGGAATGAGGGAGGCCATTGCAGCTCGATGCTTGTTCTTCCAGCAGAGGACAGGTTCGTTCCCAGGGGCGCCCACGTAATTTCCCCACTTTATTCCGTCAACTCCCTCGATCACCGGTGGAACACTGCTCGCAGGAATCGAGCTCAAGGCACTGGGAATGGGCAGGGGATGCGAGGCCCTGAACAATTGCGCTGGGGTTTGGCCGTAAGTCTTCACCATCGTCTCCCACGCGTCCCTCTGCGACGGATCCTCAATCTGGTCGACGTTAAATCCGTAGTAAGTCGCTGGATGGAAGACATTGATGGCCTCTATCGCTGGTCTCCCTGTCTGTCGAAAACCAAAGACCAGATCGATCCAGTAAGGCAGAACTTCTCGGACAATGTCGGCTTCGAGGGCAGCTCGATGCGCCAGGATGAATAGTCTAGCGTCGCCTCCACACCAGGGAGGCAGCTCCACATCCCCCACTCGCTGGCCATTCTGTCTCACCCCAAAATTGAAGCCCTCAGAGTTCAACAGGAATTCTGGTAAATAAAAGAACTCGGGGATCAATTCTTTGACGTCTGTCGTGGAATCGCAGCTTGTTAGTCTCCAGGTGGTGGCTAATGCGTGGAAAGTGCGATCTGGAATGTCGAAATTGTTGTCTTGGTAGCACAAGAACATACTGGTGAAGGGTGGAAGACGCACGAGAAAGTGGAGAACTGTCCCAGAGTTGCTGTAGTGAGAGCCATAATGAAATGGCCCCTGATTGAGAGCTACCAGATTGTTGTCCTCAGCGAATGCCTGTTTCAAGTAATTGTAGTTCAATATATAATGCTGCTCATTCTTTTTGTCCTGCACTGCCATGGGACGCCTGAAGTTCCGGTAGATCTTGGAATTGTTGAGGTCAATTCTCTCACTAATGTAATCCGCCAAAACGAATGGGAAAACTGGATACTGCATGAGATCGTTGTAGGATCTTCCAGCTAGTTTATTCAGACACATGACGTATTCCCAGTTCGTCAGGGCCCCACTGCGCCAGAGGGCCAGGGCCTCCCCCAGGTCATCCCCTGGGACTCTCCTGGGTAAATTGCAGGTTGATAATTCAGCGACGAACTCGTCTCGCTCCTTGGAAGAGTTGAAGGCCAGGAGATAAGTCCTGCCAGTCACCAGGAAAATCTCAATCGCTCGCTCCTGCAGCTGATATCTCCTTCTGTGCAGCTCCCTGATGTCCTCCAGCCTCCAGGCGGTCCCCCCAGCCATCGCCAGGTCCAGTCCACCCAGTGCAATGTCCCCATGAAGAGGGCTGTCAGGTTTATCAGGGACGAAGTACAGGCACGTCTCTCCAATGAGAGCTTCACCAGGCAATTCTGCATGGGGTGTCACCACCCTGGCCTGCGACATTTTCCTGATCCTCTCGGAGGTGTGGAGACGCTCGATCAGAGCAGTGGCGTTTGCGTCCTGACGGACGTTATTGAAAAGATACGACAGAGGGGATTCTACATTAGCAGCATCGAGCTTCTCCTGGTGTTCACTCCTGAAGAATCGTTTGTCAATCTTCAAGTGACACCTCTGCATTCTTATTCTGATCCTGGCGGGTCCCTCTGTTGGATCAAGCTCCCAACTCTGGGGGTAGCATTCAGAGAAGTACCAGGGAGCCCTCTCGTGGGTTAACCTCCTTGCGAGGTCTCTCCATCGAGCCATCGCCTGAGCCTCCATCGCCCTCGAGTGCTTCAGCTTCTCCATCAGTCCCTTCCTCTCTCGATTCTGCTCCTCAACAACTGTTCTTGTAATCGTCATCGCACTCTCCGTCAGCTGCTTCGCCAGGATATCGAACTTATTTCCAATCCTCTGGATTGCTGACAGATTACTCTCCATCCAGATGTCCCTGTCCCTCATTAATTCCCGTCGGAGAAGTGTCAGCTCCTCGCCCCACAACCCCGGAGTGGCTCGTTCAATTCCCTTCACAAGATCCCAGATGCTCAGTGCCTCTTTCAACTCAGCGCAGACTCGGGCGTCTGCACTGGGCATCTCGTCTCGCTTCTCCAGGAGATCCCAGAAGAAGACCGTGAACTTCTGCTCCACCTGCGCGTGGATTTCCAGTAGTGAGGAGAGAATTTCTCGGCCCCTGGGCTCCTCCATCAACGATCTGACTGCGTAAACCCTCGTGTTGTTGCTCTGGTGTGGTCCCAGCAGCCAGACCATAACTCTGGCTGTGTTCTTCCTCAGGGTCGGCCTCGATCCCCACGAGCCACCCCAGTACTTCCTGTCTGATCCCGACGACAGTCCATGCAACAGCATCGAGAACAATCTCTTCGTGAGCTGTAATTCGTTGTAGGACGGTGCATGATCAGCAGTTGTGAGGAACTCAACAGTCTTCACGATAATAGTCTTGAATCTCTCGTTGATTTCTCCCCTCCCAGGCTCCCTCACCGAGGTATTCGAGCCATGAAGACTCCCATAGCTAGAGGAACGTGACTCGTGATCACTCTGCTCACTGGAAGTCGTCAACACCGACGTCAAGTAAGAAGCCGAAGCCAGATAAGACGCAGTGCTGCGAAGTCTGAAGCCAGAGTGGGTTGACACTTTAGCCATCAGAAAATCGAGTTCTCCATCGAAGAGAACCACCTGCGCGTCGCGAATCACAGTCACACAAGACGACTCTGCCCCACATTGGTGTCTCTCATTCAGCTCCACGTGATTAAGAATCAAGTGGAGATCAGCAATCGCCTGCATGTGGTGGCTTCCAGGGGATTCCAGCAGCTTCGTGGCTATGGCCACCAGTAGAATGTGAATGTCATTGAATAAAGAGGTGGAATTGCCCTTGTGTGCACCGCCCACGAGAGATCTAGCCAAGGACTCCGCCAAGCCCTGGTCCAGCAGAGACTTCAACGAGCTCGAGTTTTTGGAGATCATATCAGTGATGAAAGAGACGATTGGCCTAGCAATGTTGGGGTCAGTGGCAGAGGCGCGTGACAGCATCGCCAGGAGAGGGGGCATAGCAGCCTGTGTTGGCCCCCTAGTCGCCAAACTCTCGAGGGCAACAGCCAGGGGTTCAGACGCTGGGTACAGGGCGATCTGATTCGCCAGGTGAATGAAGTACTTCTGCTTGATGAATTTATTGATCTCCTCGTCACTGGCTCTCTGTAAATACGCCTGCACCAGTTTGACGAGTGCAGTGCGAACCTTAGTGTCAGGATTATTGGCCAAAACGAGTAGTATTTCGGCCCTGAGAACGTGCTTGAGGACAGACCCCACCTGGCTGTCAGGCAGAACCCTCACAGCGTCTCTCAAGAGCAGAAGGAGTCCCTCGCACACCAGCCCCTGGCACACACGTTTCTCGTCACTCCACGACAGGTGTTTCTCACTTATCTGGTGATTAGAGCCATCGCTCGCTGCTATTCCTGAATCCTCGCCTGCACTCGTCTCTTTCGAGACTCCATATCTCCTCTCCCTCTTCCTGGTGGCCCTGTCCCGCTGGATCTGCACGTTAGCCAGTGCTTTATTCAATTTACTCACTTCTAACGTACTCACTGACTCATCAGACGAACTCGTCGTCGCAGTTGTTGTTGTCGTCGTGGATAATCCGACTTTGAGGCACGACCTCTTGTCGTCCAACGGTGGCAACAGGAAATAGATATTATGACGCGAGTGGGTGACGTACGTCTCTGACGCCTGATGAACTAGAATAAGATAATCTGTGATTGCGACTAAATGCGAAAATTCCGGAGGCGCTCCCATGAGCGCTCTAATCAGCTCGACAACTGCAGTGCCACTTGTGGGATCGAGCAAAGTGCGCTCGTAGCAATCCTCGTACATGAAGTGCTCTTTGCACAGGAGCAAAATAGTTTCGACGATGTCAACTCGATTGAACTGGGCAGCGTTGAACTCCCTCTGGGAGTGCTGATCCCTCAGCAGCACCAGGATCGCCTGGAGGAATAGATTCAGAGCATCGGACTTGGCCCACGTCCTCCAGGCACTCAGGGACACTTTGATCAGCTCAGGATCGGTTACGACAGCCTCGCAGTTCTGCAGAATCACGTGGTTGCCACTGCTGATGTCTTTGATCAGAATGCAAGTGTCGCAGGCTGCATCCAGGATGGCCTTCAGGATGTGCTTACCTGCGTTGCACCTGGGACTCTCGAGGACACGCAGAAGCAGCGATGGACCCCCCTCCGATCTGTACTGGCTCAGCAGCTCGGAATCGCTCTTCGAGAGGTGGAGAACGATCGACAATGCCAGGGCCTGTTCCTCCTCAGATGAATTCAACTCGACAACTCTTGCGAAGAGGTACAGAAACACTGGCATTCCGCCTATTAAACTCGCTGCAGGAATGAGTCCCCTGTACTGCTGGCACTCGAGTCTCGACGAGGCTATCGGGGGTATTGACAGTGGCGGCTGCTGGGAGACTCTGTGCTCCGGTGCAGAAATCACCCTGAACCCTGGCTGCCCTGGGAACAGAGTTCTAACAACTGCATTGGGATTGGCAATTGCCTGCGGGTACAGGTGAACTAAATTCGGGCTTTGTGCCTCGTAACTGATTAAAATGTTGTCCTGAAGATCACTCAGGTGGGAATTCGTGGCGTCCATAACAGCGTCCCAATCGATCTTGGAGTCCGAGACCTTGGTCTCCACAATGTGCCTCAGGTAAGTCCCTCCGTACGACTTTCTTCGACTGGTGTCGAACTTTCCACCCTCGAATTTCACCTCTCGTACGCCGTTCAGCGCTCCGGAGGCTATCAGAGGTGAAAAGTCAGGCTTCGCGGAATTTAGAATGCATTCTGCTAAATTCGTGTAGTTTGGACCGAGACTGGCGAGGTAGAGAGCTCTTTCCTTCGTGAATATGGGGCACCTGAAGACCATGAGGTTCCCCAGGTACCAGGCACCACTGCTGCAGGGGCCATTCTGCCCCAGCAGAACGCAGGTAGTTCCGGGCTTGCGTACCAGAAGGCCATCGAAGGGCAGCTGTGCATTGGCCTCGCGATACCCATCAACCCAGATTTTCACCTCCACCACTGCGCTCTTTTTATTGAGAACAGTGTCCTTGAAGTTCAGGGCGAGGTGGTGCCACCTTCCCGAAGGGAGGAGGCCGTTTATCGACGCCTCGGAGATGGTGCGGTTGGTCTTGTCGTCGGGACGAGTCAGACGAAGAATGAGTTTGTCGGATTTCAGGTCCAGCCACGACTCCAGGACGAGGGACTCGAAGCCTATGGACATCAAATGGATTATTGTGAGTGGGGCTGGAGGGGAGGCTGAGCCTGCCACGACCTCTCGGCTCCAGTTGTCGGTTAAAACTCCCCAGTCTGACAGGCTCTCACTGTCTGAATCCAGGAGGTGGGACACTGAGACTGTGGCTCCTCTGCCTGGGACACTCGCGCCTCTTTCCACTCGCAGCCACATGGAGGCTGAACAGCCGTGCAGCCACACTGGCCAGGAAAGTTCAGGCCCAACTGGCAGGCACATCGCGTGGACCGACCAGGGACTGCAGATCTCAGCTGCTATGTGCTTCTTCCTGAAGTTGTTGACGAGATTCTCAGCCTTTTCGGTGTTCTTCACGTTCTCTCTTTCGGTTTTGTTGGGACTGCTGGGCTCGATGACGATGGGAAATGAGAGGATGAAGTTTGGCTGGGGTTTTGAGGCGATCACGAGTCGGAATAGGGGCTCCAGGAGGGGGACGAGTGGTGGGGATGCGGATTTGAAGAGGGAGAGGTAGGACACCAGCTCGGTTGGAGAGATCGATTGGGTGGCCAGCAGGGTCAAGACCTCCAGGACAGCGTGCTGCAGGTCCTGGTGCTCTGGCTCTTTGCTCGTTAGAATCGCCTCGAATCCATTGAGGAGCTTTGTGATCACTCCTGATCCTGCCAGCGCTGCACAACTCGATGCACTCTCTCTACATATCACTGCCACTTTTCGCAAGCCGCCGCTTACAATTGTGCTTCTCTCTCCGTCTAGACCTCTGAGAAAAATTGTTTTTTTGAGTTTAGGTGGAGCGTAATTGAAGGGACAGTACAGTCTTCGGACAATTTATTGAGAGCCCCGTGGATGGTATTTATGCATTTTTCATTTATTTTTCAGTTTAGGGATGGCCAAGTATATTTTAACGTTTAGTACGGACCATCAAATTAAATTGCGTGAGAGAAATTTGAAAAAATCGTGAATATTCAGAGTCATTCAAATTACATTTTACGCTCAATTTTTAGGTTTTTTAAACAGTCGTTGTTTATAAATAAATAATTGAAATTGGTTAAATTTTCGGAAATGTTATTCTTTTGGGCATTAAATTGATTTCTGGTAAAATGCAGAATATGAGTAAAATATGAGTATGAAAATTGATTGTTTATAAATTATTTATGAAAAGTGCTCGTAATCTTTAATAATCGCTATTTTTTAATTATTTAAAAAGAATTGAAAATAATTTTTAAATAATTATTTTTTAAATTATTTATTTGTGCGAAGAATATCAAATCAAAATATTTTCCCCTCTCAGCGTAAGTAAAGTGGGGGATACGTAATTCTTGGAATTTTATTCCCCTGCAGTCCCTGTGCTATTTGTACGAAGATTGGACTGTACAATTATTAATTCATAATAAGGTTAATCCAGCTTACTGTTCACTGAAGTGGATCAGTAGGTCAACAGCAAGGGAACAAAGTGCTGGATGGGCATTGGCATGTCCCCTTGGTTCCACCACAGGCCCTAGGGAATTGCTCCTCCTGGGCAAGCTGTTCTGCGGGCTCTTCCCCTGGACCTCGACGTCCGCCTCGTAGCCATCGTCAGCGGTTACGTACTCTCCTGTGCTACTGTCCTCACCTCCGCAATCTGGCAGCGCCTCCAAGGTCATTGTTGGCAGCTAATTGAATTTAAAAAAAAAACATAAGGAGAATTTATGACAGAACTCTAGAGATTTGTTTTTCTCGTATTAAAAATAATTATCATTCAATGAGAAAAAATTAATATTTTTGTCAATATTCATTTACTTGAGAGAATTATTTATTTATTGAATACTGTATGATATTTCTACTGCTCTAGAAGATGGTCTTGAGTGAACTCTCTCAATAATTATCAACATTGAAAAATTAATCGAAATTCTTTAAAAATGAAAAATTTAGGAAAAATGAGGAATTATTCGAGGAGTTCATCCAAGATCATGCGCAACAGAGTCATCCTCTAGAGCAACATAATTATCACAATTAAAACCTAATCAGTCTCGCCTGGGAAGGATTCGATTGGAGAAATACGGTTTTGAAAAAATAATTTTCTCTCCAATAAATGAATATTTGGCAAAAATAATTTTTTCTTCAGTTTTAAAACTTACTCTCGGTCTTGTTGGTTGTGGCATAGTTTGTTCTCGACTGGATTTCAGCATGGAGACCCTGAGAAGTGACTCAACAAGCATTGCTATTCCTCGTCCCAATTTGATTCCAGCACTCATCAAAGATTTACCAAGTTCTGTTATCACATCGGAATCACCTGAACCACAAGTCATATTAGCTTCATGATTTATTAACCCTCATGAATTTTTATTTAACCACACACATGCACATGTTCGCACGCGAACATTTAAAAATAAATTGAGGTGATGATCAATTTGAAGCTTTAAAATTTAGTCGTGAAACGAACGTCATGAAACTTCTCTGGTAACTGTTCTCAATGATGAGAACGCCTAAGAGATTGCCCACCGTTTGTAAAACTAATCCACAGCTGGTGCTACCAAGAGGTGTATTTAAATCATTTATCCCCCTCCCGCCCCTCGCTGGCATTATTTGCATTTACGTCCGTTCCATAAATTTAGTATTGTAGAATGGAATAAGGGATTACACAACTTACACAACGGCGATGTCAAGCAGCACGTGATTAACGCCTCGAGGAGCCGATGGGCTGATTTACTGGCGTCTAAACAGAGTGGAAATATCATAATTGCCATCAGTCATACTTTGTCTCTTTAAATCAGTATGGGAATTATTGAGAATAAATTGGCAATTTACTTCCGAATGAGTTCTCATTTTTTTACTTCTTATTTCATTATTCTCTTTCATTTTTTCATGTCATATTACTATTCTTAAAATGTTGCCTATTATTTCGTTCTGCGATCGTTGAAAAATCGATTTTTGGAAAAATATAAATTTTTTCATAAACTTTAGCTTATTAAACTTTATATTCACGAATAAATTCATGAAATTCGATTGATCCCTTATAAAAAAAAAAAACTTTAAAAAAATGATAAAAATTTGAAAAAAAAATGAAAAAAATGAAAAAGTGAGAAATTTGAGACAAAAATTAAAAAACATCTCAACTAAATAAATTTACCTTTCATGCGATCAGTTGCGATGCAGACAGCAAGAATTTTGAAGAGTCTCAGTGATTTCTCAGAGACAGGACTCTTCGCCAACTCAATTCTAAAACAAGGACTGCACAAGGCCACCCCAGCAGCCGCTCTCCACGCCGCACTGGCCTGAAAGAGACTGACTTTCTGCAGTTCCTCGAGTGATCCCCCCCTGACGATATCCTCCAGAGACTTCGACAACTCAGTCTTCAACAAGCTCCTCTTATTCAATGGTTCCCCAGACTTCTCCCTCTCCTGAAATTTCCTTGACTTCACAAAGGCACATTGGACCGACTCCTCGAGTATTTCCTCGATATTCTGCTGCGTGATGCCCTCAAAAACCTCCAGAAGTTCAGTGCTCTCTTTGTCGAGTGCATCGAGAAGTGCCTTGACTGCAATTCCCTCGCTCAATTCCCCCTCATTCTCCTCAATCGCCAGCCATATCTCCATTATCACAGACACCTCCAACAAAGCATAAACATTTCTCGTGAACAAGGGATTAGGCAGTAGCTTCAGGGACTCCTCTAATCCCCTGATCTCCACATATCTCTCGTACATTGGCCCACTAACAACGAGGCTCGAGATCATGGACAAACACGACTGAATTATAAACTCAGTGCTGGCATTGCCCCCACACCTCTCCAGGCTCTTCTTGGCACTGAGAAACGTTGGATAAAACACCCTGAAGAGCAACTCACGCCTGACATGGAATCCAGCATTGGGCGTCACCTTAACAAGATGCCCCATTATGCTGCAGCACAAATTGGAGTCATCTGGACTCAAAAGTCCAGAGTAAAGCTCCAGGAACTCCCACGAGTAGTTGAGTGGTTTGGCACAGGTGTTGCAAGTCTCACGTTCAGGATAGGCCCCCAATTCCTTGAACAAACACCTTTCTAGCAGAACCACACAGGGTCCATAAATCTGTGAATTCCCCTTCTTCAGAAATCCCACGACATTGGCCAGCAAAATCTTGGGGGGAAAGCAGCAGCAGGTGCCAGCAGCTGTGATCACCTTCAAAAGTCTGACTTCAAATTCAATTGGAAAGGACTTGGACTCTCTCATTAAACCAGTCAGGGTCATGAAGAGAGAGGAGATGCAGCACATCTGCTGCCCCAGAGTCGCCACTTTGGGCTGCGAATATGGACTCCCCAGGATGTCGAAGTGGTGATGGGCCTCGATTACGTTGTCACACGCCCTGTGCTTGGACCTGCGACACTGGCCCATGTGGCAGAGCTCCTGCCTGACGCGCTTGAGGGCACTTATCAGGGCGCCAATCATGTCGACGACCTTTCTCGCACGTGTCACCGACTTTTCCGGGTCGATACTCGGCAGGTCTACTATCGCGAGGATCGTTCGCTCCACGAGCTTGCCCTCTTGACTCTCGGTGAACAGTTGGAACAGCTCCAGAAAGTCTTTCAGCTTCTCCGCGGTCCCCCTCTGATGCAAGAGACAGTACAGGAACGTGATAATTCCGTAAGTGGTTGCGAATATGAACTCCTGGAGGAGAGAGCCCTCCTCGGGGCTCATGACGACCACTGGCTTGCTGCAGGCGTCCTCGAGGAGTCGCAGGGTCATGGGGAGCAAGCCGTTGTGGATGACAGCTGTCGTCGGCTCATCGGCCCTCAGCACTCGCTCCAGAGCCCCCAGCATCAGCCTCGCTGCTGCAGCCTTCAGAGTCGCGCACTCTGTGCCGGTGAGACTGGGACCGTCGATGCCGAATTGGAGGGACCAGAGAGTGTCCAGGGCGAATTTCAGGACCTGAACCAGGGATGGCCAATAATATTAGATTTCGAGAATATTAAGGAGGATTGGCTCCTTATGTTGTTCAAAATTTAACTTCATTCAGCAAATTTAAAATACTATAATTATATTATCATATAATATTATAATATAATAATACAATATCAATATATTAATATCAATTTATTAATTATATTAATACTATAATTATATTATTATTATATTATTGAAAGGTAATTTTCAGTTAACAAGCTAATTCTAAATTTAGGTACTTGATTTTCGATTATCCAAATAATCGTCAATCTTCCTACCTAAATTATTGGTTAATAGAATATTTCGAAATTTGAATGTGCAAATTGGCGGTCAATTTAATATTCAAAATTTTAAGATTTCTGTTAGAAATTGACAACTTCACAATTAACGGTAGTTGTGATTGGTGAATATGCCTATAACTGACCTGAACTGCAGGCGTTTGCTCAGCAGGAACAGTCTCGTAGTCCCTGAGCCCCTGGAGGAGTTGAATTATCAAGAGGCTAGTCTCGAAGTGGCTGATTTTCGTGTTGAGAACTGATTTCACTCGATCGTCGATGAAGTCTTGAGGGACTTTTCGAGAGGGGCGCAGGGGGGGTTCGTACAGGACTGCCCCCCACTGGTTTTCCTCGTCGGACCTGACGACTGACGTGAAGTACTCGAAGTCCATTGGGTTGAGGCGGATCTTCAGGGTGAGGGAGCGCGCCTGATCAATTCCATCGGTGAGAACCTCCGATTCACTGCTGGCGTCGTTTTTCGAGGGATCTCTGTGTCCCACTGCCTGAGAGGCCACTCTCGTCCCCGCAGCACTGTATCTTCGCAGGCGCTTACGTGAAACATGAGCCTCGTTGGTCGTGCTCGATCGACTGCGATTCTTCTTTTTTGTCGTGTGGGGAATGATCTCGACGGTGTCGACGGTGTCGTCGTTGCAGTGGAATTTAATGTAGGGATTGGGGGGCAGTGGTTGGGTGGAGGACTGGGAGGAGACGGGGTAGAGGGCTACGAGGAGGGCGACCAGTTCCCGACCGCAGGACAGGCCACGAACCCCGAGGAGGTGGAGGACCGACAGCGAACGCCAGCCACGACCCTGGATCAGGTATTTGTGGAGCTCGATCAATTCTCCGCCGTCGTTACGCGCTGCGCAGAGGTCGTGAACGTCCGAGAGAAGTTCACAGGCCACTAGGGTGGACACTCCACCACCACCTACCGAGCTGAATTATCGAGAATTGGTTTATTATAATTCAGCAACGAAACGGCAAAACCGTTCAAGTCGATTTTGAATATTGGCCAGTTTTCAAGGAATATTTCAAAATCTAAGGGAGATGACTAAAATTTTGTCAAGAGCTTTTTTATAGGGGGAATTGAGGGCTACAAAACAGGTCATTACGAAAATTTCGTTATCTCCCTCAGATTCGGAGATATTCCTCGAAAATGATTACTGAATTTAGAGGAAGGGAAAAGGGGAATGATGAAATGGACAATTTTAGCCTGATTTAAAATATTTTCGTTGATGAATAATGAAAAGTGAATGTTTGGAGAAGTGAATCGGAGAGAAGTTCACAGGCTACTAGGGTGGACACTCTACCACCACCTACTGAGCTGGATTATCGAGTATCATCGTTTTGACTAGTGGCCAGTTTTCAAGGCATTTATCAAAATCTAAGGGACATAGCTAAAATTTTATCATGACCAATATTGCAGCCCTCAACTCGCTCTACAAAAAAGGTCATTACGAAAATTTCGTTATCTCCTTCAAATTCGGAGATATTCCTCAAAAATTATTACTGAATTTAAGGAGGGAGAAAATGGGAACGATGAAATGGACAATTTCAGCATGATTTAAAATATTTTCCTTGATAAATAATGAAAAATAAATGTTTGGAGTAGTAAAATCGTCTCTGCCGTTACACAAGCAATTGTATTCCATACGAATAACAGTTCAGACGGGCACAATTGTGTATTTCTCTGTCAAAGTACCGTGGAAAGTTACGTAGACTCTTATCGGACACCGCTAAGCAAACTTTTATTATCTCAATGCAGTTGAGCGTCAACGGACTAGGACAATGCATCAACATAGTTTTATTTTTCGTTCCACAGCGCTTGAGAATTGTTGAATCATCCTTGATATGACGGATGATTTTGAATATACGAGTGAAAATTGAGGATAATTGCTATTGATTACAGGGCGAGGTGGTTTCGTGATACATCTCATGTCTGAGAGACTCTAAAAACAAATTGACGGATTGACAAATTGATTTGAATTACAGACAAATTGGGAAAAATACCTGTTCATTATATTTTGTTGCCCATTTGGAATATTGAGCAACAGAAAAGAGTTTGTAGTGCATTTCATTCATTCACGACAGTCGGAAAATATAGCAATCTCTCAGTTTATTTTTAAAACGTTTACCATACGATGAGTTTCTTGAAAAAGGCTATCGTCGTTATCTCTCGTAGTGATACGGGTGTTTATCAGTTGTTTGAAACTTTTCATCGAACCAATTAGTATTTATTTCAATCGAACTTTCTATCTCAAATGTGTTCAATAATCGTCACGCCGTTATCTCCATTAATAATTGACATAAGAATATTTGAGAAAAAGGGTACGTATTTAGATTGATAAGGGAAAAATAGTGAAAGATTTACCAGAACGATAGAATCTCCTTAATGTCCCTGCCATCGTGCACTTGTGCAAGCAATTCAGCGAGGAATATATCGAGCCACGATGATTTCTGGAAGCAGTAAAATTGAGGAATGTGAGATATTAAATAGTAAAAACATCCTAATGACTGAGAAATCCTCTTTGCATCTCCAACTCGTAATGCCAATCCCAATTAAAGCATTCATCGCGCGCATAATCGAGATTAGCGTAATATAACTTATGGCGGGAATGGAAATAACGTCAGGGAATTTTGTAATTCACGTGAGTCTCATCTAAAATTACATTTTAAGGATATCCAATCTTTTAAAGTTGGCACTATATCTTCAACCATTTTCAATTATCAATTTCGTCAATTAAACTGCGTAAAAAAGTTTTGAAATTTTTTTCTTTCGTAAAAAATGCTCGTAATTTTCGAAAATTGAAATTTTGCAATTATTTTGTCAATCTTTCTCCAAATGTGAAGTATCCAATTTCTTATTCCGATTTTTAAAATGTTTTTTAACGGTTTAATATTGAGGTTCAAATTGAGACCTGCGAAGTTTAAATAATAAAATTTTGGATCAAAGAATGGCATTTCACTGAAAAAAAATAGTCAAAGTACGTAGATATCGTCAATTCTGTGTACACAAATTCCCGATAAATCTGTAACGCAATACATCGAGCGATACTCGTTGAAGGTGAGCTTGTAAAATAAGAGAAAATCAGTAGCTTCTCGAATTGCGTCTCGACTTCACTCCCACCTCCGCCGAGTAATTCATCATTCCAGCCCTTTTTCCAAGAATACACTTCTTTTACCTTAATATTCCCGCGATTTCGACCCCCCTCCCCCGCCCCCTGGAAAACGAAATACACAAGTCGAGTTGTAGGTCTTCCACACGCAGCTCAGACTCTTTATTGTATTTATCAGGCTTTTGCATACACCACAGAGCAACAATAATAGCACGAGGGAAAATGAAATGATTAGGTAGAGTAGACTGACTGCAGTTCAAAATCAGTAGCGGAGCGGTAAAACGGTTCAAGTCAATCGGGGATAGCCGTATCCATTAATTATAATTACCGTTAAATTTTTAAGTAGTCAATTATTAATATTCATGATGAATAATTGATTAATTATAATAATTGACTATATAATATTAATTATTCATTATTAATATAATTATATCAATAATTATCATTAATAATTGATATTATATAGTTCATAATTAATATTAATATAATTATATTAATATCACTCTTAAATTTTAATTATTGAAGTAATCATCAATTTTTAAATTCAAATTCCGAATTATTTGGATAATCGGAAATCCTTTATAATAAATTTAGTATTATTTCCTTGATAGAAAATTTATAGTCCCATAATATCAAAAATTCAATTCATCATCAATCGGAAATTTAGATCATCAATTAATTTACTATTTTTTAAATTTCGATTAGTATATTTAAACCTTGATCAATGTAACTGGGAAATTCTTTGAATATTGAAGAATATCTGCAGATTCAACGAAAATAGAAGAATTTTTGTTGTAACCTTTTTCGGAGAGCGGATTAAGACGCGCAAAAAAGGTTTTTTCGCATAATTTCTTTATCCCTCTTGGATTCCGAGATATTTTCCGAAAACTCAGCAAAGAGCCAAGTCCACATGAATCGTTTTACCGTTTCGCTACTGAAATGGGTTTCCTCACAAACCAAATGCAATTACCTAGGACGGTAACAAAATTAATTGAATTACCTCATAACTTTGCGGTTCGGCATGAATGAAATTATCCCACAGCAGTTGAAGCCTGTCGGAGCCCACTGGAGACATCGCAAGGAACGATAGCTCAGAGCCTGTTCCCTCTTGACTCGAGTCCTTCGGAATCACCATGTTATCGTCATCGTCGGTTCCATAGTGCTCCTCCTGGTCGCTCGTGGCCTCTGTCCAGGTCGTCCACTCGTCCTCCTGTTTTCTCGCCACTGTCACACGCAGTGAGCAAGAGCCAATTGTTTGGAATGGCTCTAACTGTCCAGACGATCGACCACTGAAATATTGAGCCGCTTGATGAGACCGGCTGCCCCCAGCTGCAGTTTCACTCTTCAACTTCATCTGTCTCTATCATTCGTATTCTCCTGTCGTCTGTTGTCGCGGATTATGTAACACTGTCCGGTGTAGCGGAGAAGCCACAGAAATAACTTCAACCCCTAACACTATTTCCGGTGAGCAAAAAAGAGAATTATATTTTTTTTAGAGAATTGCGAGTCTCGGGAGAAATTGCCTGACGTAATGGCCGAGAAAAAATCGAGAAAGGAGGGAATGTTTTCATGTTTATCGTTAATAAGGCGAGCGACGTTGGACAATCTCTTATCTTCGAGGGAGGAGCGTGTGACGACAGACGAATGGACGAATGAAAAAGATGATAGAGAAGACGATGTCACGGGTTTATTAAAAATAACTATTTTTTCGGATTATTCCTTGACTCAATTATATAAGTTTTTTTGCGGTATCGAAACGGCTTACATTGTTGATGATATTTGTTGATTATTGCGAGGATATTCGCTGATGTATGTGTTGGGGTTTGTCACTGAATGCACGTGCCAGAAGTGGGTCTTCCTCTGGTGGAGAAACCGAGACGACTGGCGAGTGCTGGGGTGAAATGAAAAGCTGAAGCAGGTATGTGAGGGAGACTGACCTCAGGACGTCACCGAGGGCATTCGCAGGGAGGGATCAGGGGGCGGAGAGCGGTCGATGAGTCAGTCAGGTGCAGAATATTTTCATGATTCCAGGTAGTGGGGAAGTTTTCGATAATTGCCAAATTTTTAGCGAAGGAATGTTGGTATCATTCTATCGCATTTTTCATCGGGTTTAGAAATTTTACATCAAATTGCTTCTTTACACTAACATTTTAAAAACATTTTTTTAATCTAATCAAAAAAATTAGATATTTTACTAAAATTCACTAAAAAACTAAGTTTCTTAATAAAATTTGAAAACATTCTTAAAATCGGAATAGAAAATTAGAAAGTTTACTAAAAAACTAAGTTTTTTAAAATAAAATTGGAAAACATTCTTAAAATCTGAATAAAAAATTACAAAGTTCACTCAAGTTTACTAAAAAAACTAAGTTTTTGTAATAAAATTGTTTGTAAAAAATGCTAATTCCGTACAAAATATAATTTGAATTTTTTTGACGCAATCTAATTGACCCCAATGTACTCTAGTCAAGAAAGACAAATAATGAATGAAAAACTCATCAAACATAAGTGTCCCAGGCCATATACCATAGCTGCATTCCTGGTGGTAAAGGACCTTGAGTCACTCCAAATTATACACCATTTTCTTAAGAAATGCCAAATTAGAATTTAAAACACTTGTATCAAACTATGTATTGTAACATTATATCAATTGTATCAAAAAAAAATCAACCGACGAAGCCAAACATCCTTTGTAACATTTTCAGCAAACTGATTGTAAATAACCCATTGTAGGTTAATACATAAATAAAAAATAAAAAATCCAATTGACGCAATCTATAATATTTGCATCAAATCTGTACCAAACTGTAAATAAATACTTGGATATCTTTAATTTGAACTGTGAAAATATGAAGCAAGATATTTTTAAATAATGACAACCAAAACATTTTTTCGTCTTCAAATTAAAAATCCTCGACGCGCATTAATATTTCCGCCGAGTCTCGTCAAAATCAAAGAGAACCGAGAAAACAACATTGATAATTACAACTCAACACGTGCAAACAATCAAAGTCGCTCAAGAGCCGAGAAAATTCAAACCACAATAACACAGTTCAATCGCATATACTCCCGATCACGCCGGATCGTGTGGGGCATAAATTTCCTCCACTATCTCATTAAATGCTTTCCTTTTTGTCTGTTTTCATCCGTCGATAGTGCACTAACTTGTGCAAAAAAAAATATCCGATATTTTCCACTATCCGAGGAGAAAGGGGCCAGAGACATTAATCACTTCGCCTCATAATTGTCCAGCTTATTTACGAAACAAGACATTGTGCAAAAAATTCCGCCGATAATCTCTCAATAATTGTTGTCATCAATTGTAATTAGATTATCACCGACTTTTGTCATGACTCCATCTATCAATGGCTCTAACACAAACTGAATTGTCAGAAAATTAATTAAAATTGGAGCCAACAATGATAAATAAATAAAAAATCATCAAGACTGTGATAACAGCCGTTGACCTCTCGTCACGAATTTGCCTCAAAATTTGTGACAATACATTTTATGCCCTTTAAATCCTTTATATTCTATTATTACAACTCACCCTGGTAAAACAGTCCGATTATTTCCGACCGGGTGATAAAAAATGAATCGGCGTTAATGATGTTTCTGTCTTTGCCCGTTAAATTCCGATTGGTTGATAGGTAGATTTTGGAGTTTGAGAAAATTATGAGAATTAATGGGAACAAGGGTATGTGTACATTATCGTCCGATTACTTTCCAAAAAAGTGGTTGACAGATCTCATATTACTCATATAAATATTTAAATGAGCAATAAATATTAAAGAGTTATATGAGCAATATGAGATCTATCAACCACTTTTTTGGAAAGTAATCGTATGATAACGGCCACATACCCTTGATCCTATTAATTCTCATAATTTTCTCAAACTCCAAACTCTACCTACCAGCCAATCGAAATTTAACGGGCAAAGACTTCTGTCACAAACATCATTAACACCGATTCATTTTTTATCACCCAGTCGGAAATAATCGGACTGTTTTACCAGGGCATGTTATTTATAAGTAAAAGCCCAAGAGCTGAGAGTATGACTGAATTTCAGCACAACTTGTTTATAATTCAGTAGCGAAGTGGTAAAACGGTTTAAGTCAATTTTGACTATTAACCAGTTTTCAATGACTATCTCAGAATTTGAGGGAGATAGCAAAATTCTTGTAATAACCTTTTCTGTAGAGCCGATTGAGAGCTACAAAAAATGTTATAACAAAAATTTCGCTATCTCCCTTAGATTCGAAAATATTCCTCAAAAACTCAACTGGGAGGTAAGTCGACCTGAACTGTTTTACCACTTCGCTACTAAATTTACATATCTACCGTTAATCTACCATTTTATATTGACCAAACGCCTTTAAAACTTACAATAATTGTTCACATTCTACTCTATCCCGACAATTATCAAAAATCCACGAACAAAAATTAATTATCGTCATGTATTATCCATCATCCTGCTAGATAAACCCAAATGCCACGAAATACACCTCAAAAATTGTAAGTAAAATGCCATCACACAGCCCGACATGTCCCACCACATGTGTAAACATGACATACCGCATTTTGGCAAGTTTATTGACCCCCAGCATTATTTACACGTCTCTAAAACAAAAAAAAATCAACAATAGTCCTACCTTGAGGGCGTTGCCACCGGTCCAGCGGAGTCACCACCATACGATCCGTTAAAAAATAACACCTCCAAATTACGATCGAAAACAATTTGTTGTGGACTCAAAATGAACCCAGAACGAGTGACCCTCCAGCGAACAGCAAAATAAACCTCAACTGCCATTCGCGATCATTCTGTACGAGAATGGGATATCGCCTCAATAATGCAGATGGCAGCACCTCCCGGGCCCCCCTTAAGGTACGATAACACCTCTCAATCTGTCAAATCCACATCCTAACCTAGAACCAAACACTTGTCAAACGCGAAACAACAAAAAAATAAACCCTTCCAATGTTGGACAACAAAGTCAACATGACCGACCTGCAAAAACTGGAGGAGGAGGCCAAGGCGACAGCGACGAAACACGTGATAAATATGCTGCAGCGTCCAGGTCAGTTGGAGAAGGTTGAGCAGTACAAGCGTAGAATAGGCCGCAAAAAGGCCTCAGTGGAGACAATGCTGAAAACAGCGATGCAGAGTCAACTGGACGGCGTCCGAGTGGGTTTCCACCAGCTCCAGAGCTCCCTGGAGAGCATCGGAACGATAAAAGAGGAGTTGGACCTCATCGGGCAGTCATTTGGCTCAGCCCTGGACCTGTCCTCCAAGCTCCAAGCAGTCCAGGACGAAAATATGCGGCACTCGCAGTACGTAACAGCGAAGGAGAACCTGAAGCACATCTTCACTGTTCCGGAGAGCGTGGAGAAGACGAAACAGTGGATCAACGAGGGAAAATTGCTGCACGCCCACCAGAGCCTGATGGACTTGGAGAATTCTCGTGACGACTTACTCTACGAACTCCACAAGCTACCGAATCAATCGATACCCGACAAAGTGATGCTGAAGGCGTACTTTGAAGACGTTGAAACGCTGTCTCAGCTGATGGAGAAGCAGATTCGACTGGTGCTGAGTCGAACATTGAACACAGTTCGAAAAGAGCCCACAGTGATTGTCACAGCCCTGAGGATAATCGAACGAGAGGAGAAGGCGGACCATTTCGCCACCGAGAGACACCGCCAGAGTGGCTTCATGCCCCCAGCGAGGCCCAAGAAGTGGAAGGAGATGGCCATGAAGGTCCTGGAGAAGTCTGTGGGGGAGAGGATCGAGGGGACCCAGGCTGAGGACCGAAAAACCAATAAAATGTGGCTCGTGAGGTTCCTGGAGCTCACTAGGCAGCTCATCCTCGAGGATTTGAGGGTCGTCAAGACCCTCTGTGGCCCCTGCTTTCCCCCCAAATACGACATTGTCAATAAATTCGTTAAAATGTACCACACGAACTTGTCGCAGCATCTGAAGGAGCTGATTGTTGGGGGACTCGAGGGGAATGAGTATGTTTCACTTCTCGCCTGGATAATGAATACCTATACTGGACCTGAGCTGATGCAGCACCCAGAGCTGAATATTGACACCACTGAGATTGGACCCCTCCTCAGCCCTGAGATACTCAATGATCTTCAGGAGAAATACCTCAGGAACATGTGCCAAAATTACGAGGACTGGATGAAGAAGACTGTGGAAACTGAGAAGGTCGAGTGGTGGAGTGGAGCACTGAATGACAGCAGCACCCAGGACACCTATTACCACACCTCAGCGCCAGTCATCATCTTTCAGATGATCGATCAGAATCTCCAGGTCACCAAGACCATCAGCACTGATTTAACAGCGAAGGCTCTGGTGGTTTGCATCGAACAAGTCACGAAGTATGGGATTATGTATCGTCAGGCCATTCTGGAGTTCAAAGCCAAGCACTTCGAGGACAGAAGCCAAGTTCCGTATTTCACCCATCACATGATTACAATTGTTAATAACTGCCTGCAGTATGTGGAGCTGGCTCAACAGATGAAGCAGCTGTACTGGGTCACCAATGCCAGTGGCGATGCTGCTGTCAAGTTCGAGAGCCTCTTGAGTCATTATCAACAGTTGAGGAATGAAGCGGCTGCTATTTTGCTGGAGGAGTCGTTCCTGGATCTTGAGCCACAGTTCACGGATTTGTTGACCCCCAAATGGCTCAATTCACCGATTCCTGTGGAGACCATTTGCGTCACTCTGGACGATTATTTCCAGGATTACAATCATCTCAGAACCAAGAACTTTGAGTATATTATTACTGAGGCGCAGAATTTAATTGCGAAGAGGTACATCGCTGCGATGCTCCAGAGGAAAATTTCCCTGAAAACTTACGACGAATGCCTGACGTGCACCTCCAAAATCATGACCGAGGCGGATAAATTGAAGAACTTTTTCGTGAGGATTGCCCCGAAAGTGGGAAATTTTGACTCTCCTTTCGAAATTATCAAGCGACTGGCTGAAGTGCTGAGGTGTGAGGACGCTGAGATTTTATCCCTGGACCTGCACTCGTTGGTGGAAAAGTATCCTGACATGACTGAGGATCATCTCGTGAGGCTGTTGAGCCTGAGGGGAGACATTTCCAGGAGTGAGGCCAGGGAGAAGGTCAGCTATATCCTGGAGGCCCAGAGGAACAGACGAACACCCCAAACTATCACTAATAGTATTTTCAAGCACATTGTCCTGCAGGACAGCTTCCTCAGTTGGAAGCCCTGAGGAAGAGAATTCTTGAGGGCTAATGGGACGTAGAGAAACTGCCAGTGTTTCCCTTAATTAATGTATGAAAACTTAAGTTTTAACGGATTTAACAGTTAATTGATTCATGTGTGATGTTTAATCTGCAGAATTTCAAGTTATTTGTACGTTGTAACGAAGAGAATGACAGGATATTAAATTATTGGGAGTCAAATTATTGGTAATTGGGTTTATGGCTTTCGTAGGGGACTTCGTAAAAAAATGGTCAAGGAAACTTTGGGAAAGTGGAGTTTTGGTTAATTAAACTTTTGTCAAATTGAACTTATCTTTTGTAAGAATATAAGTAAAATGTGGGTTTGTAGGGGTTTCTAGAGTGTTATCTGTTGGGTTTGGGTTCCTCGTGGAAAGAATAATCAACATTTCTCATTTATTTCATTGAAATGGTATTTTCTGGAGAGATTGCTTCGAATGTTGTGCTTTAAATGACTGACCATTTGTTATATTTTGTTGGGTTGTGGATATGAATCGTTGTGTTATTTATTTTCTCATGCTTATGAATTTGTGTCAAATCACTTGTTATTGAGACTCGATGTTATTTATTCTGAAGACGATATTTACAAATTTAGTATTGTGCTTTGTTTATTTTTTTTTTCATTTTGTTATTTTTGTTCGTGAGCAGTCATTGAAGCGTTATTAATGCTCTATTCTTGGGCTTTTTGAATATTTTCCTGGAGTTTTTGTAAGTTAATTTCAAGTTTTTTAAAGTTCAAGTTTTCGACGAGTTTTTTAAAAATTAGGCGGAGTCTTTTCAAGATAAGTTTTTTGAAATTCGCGCTCTCGGTTACCATGTTGGTATTCGTAGTCCCATATCTCTGGTCTCATCGATCACTACATATTATACATGTGCCTGTCTGCTCCACAGTTGTTGACAAAAAATGGGAAAATGATTGGAGCTAGTCACCAATTTCTATAATAAAAGTTCATTGAGTTTGAAAATATCACCAGACTGACAAATGTTTCCCAGTAATAGATTACTGTTGTCCCTCCGCAATATTGCAAAGAGTCACATCAAGAGATGTATAACCTCGAAGACTGCTGTTACTCCAGAACAGACTGAAGAATCAGATGGTAAATTACAATTATCAATTATCCCTGACTTCCAGAATAATTCTAATTATTTATTCAACTCTTTCCAGTCAAAAGTATTATAATTTCAAACACTGGAGCTATCACGCTGTTTGGATTGAGTCGTCATGACCGAAAAAATGCTCTGGACAGTGCAGCAGCTCAAGAATTAGCTGATGCTCTAAACGAATTCGATGAGAATGAAGAGGCGAAAGTTGGGATTATTCATGGGATCGGTGGGAATTTTTGTTCAGGATTCGACTTGGAGGAGATAGCTAAATCAGAAGGGGATTCTGATAGATTACCACACTTTGGGGCTTTAGTAAGTTGTCTTCTTGATGATACAGTTGATTTTTTATTGACTTGAATGGTGTCAAACCCTGAATGTCACTCGTAATATTAAGAAAATTTTCATTCATCAAAATAATTTATTGTTTCAATTAATTGATTCATTAATTGATTCATTGTTTCAATTAATTCACCATTGTTACAGTGCACACGAAATCAGCTATCGAAAAAGCCTCTGATAGCAGCAGTAACTGGATATGCCATTGGGGCAGGCTTCGAGCTGGCCCTGATGTGCGACATGAGAGTTCTCGAGGAAAAATCACGAATGGGTTTTCTAAACAGGAGATTCGGCATTCCAATTATGTGTGGAGGTACCGTGCGATTACCAGCAATGATTGGATACTCCAGAGCAATGGATTTGATATTAACAGGAAGGGAAATCAGTGGAGAAGAGGCCTTCAGCTGGGGGTTGGGAGCTCGTCTAGTTGCCTGTGGCGCAGGTATTGGCGTGATCTCCCATTACTCATTGATTTTCAAGCTTTCAAAAAATATTTCAATAGTCTACTTATGATTTTAGCTCTAGGCCAGAGCATATCCCTGGCGCAAATGATTTTGAAATACCCTCAAGGGGCTCTGCTGGCCGACAGGACGTCCATGAATTACGCAACTTTCGGTGGAAAACCGATAGAGGAAGCTCTGGAATTCGAGAGAGACAACGCCACGGATTTCCTCCTCGATGATGGGATCAAGGGGGCCCAGAGGTTCGTCGACGGTTTTGGAAGGCATGGGAAATCAACGAATATCACGAATAGTGACCGAACGAGCTTCAGAAAGCTCGAGGATGAGGTCGTGTAGTCATTCTTGAATGTGCAACGAATCTCTTGCTCAAAATACCCGAGAATTTCAAGGGATTTTGGAGAAAATGTAAACTACATTTATCTAATTGTCATTTTGCGATGTTTCGTTAATTATTTTAGCCTCGTCAGCCTCTGGAAAATTGCATACAAATGAGAAATAAATAAATACACTTGACTGTCAGACACCTGTGCATTCATCATCTCAAATAGTTTTATTTAAACCCAGATGATTGGACAATAAACAATACATACCATGACTCGATTAATGACATTCACCTGGAACTCATAGAGAATTATTATAATCATAATTCAATTATCTACGAATTTTCATAGAATTTTTTCAGATTTTCTTTTTAAGTTATTAGTGATGGAAGTCACTTCTCATGAATGGGCTCTTATGGAGACTTTTCTGTTTAGCTGTTAATATAGTTTCATGTTAAACACAAAAATCTCGAGAAGAGCCCATGTACAAGAAGCGCGTTCAATCGTTAATAACTTGAGAAGAAAATGTGAAAAAATTCCAGGAAAATTCCATTGTAATTATAAACATTCTGTATGAATTCTAGATGAATGGCATTATTCATCTGGAATAATGACATTCATAATGTCCTTATTTCATTTACCTTTTTTGCACGAAACATTGAGTATCTAAACCAGTTGTATCTGAAGACATGACTAACTGCATTAAATTTACTAAAAAATATGTTTTAAGTATTCGTCAATTGAATTGAAGAGTTTGCCATGTTGATATGTCAATTTATTCGTTTAATTGATAATGCTTCCTGGAGGGGAATTGATATTGATCAGCGTCTCCTGCACGCCGGAAGCTGTAGCTGCCTCTCGATGAGGGGCACCAGTCTGCATTATAACTGTAATTAACCGTGAACCGTAAAATTAGTTTTCCATCCACCTATGCCTCACGTATTTCCTCTCGATGATTTTTTCGCCTCATTTTCCCCCAGAAAATGCACATTACCGAGTCATTGGCCGAGGGGAAGAGGAATTTGAGGGGGAAATTCCGGGGAAAAGAAAACTCCTTTTGAACCGTGAATCACTTCGAGTTGAGTCGCATTGATTTTCACCGAGTTACATTGCGTATTATGAGAGGACTGTAGATGGGTTGAATTCCATGACCGACATTTGGCCCCAGTACTCATCAATCTATCTAGATTTCTCAGTCTCATTACTTGCTTTACAAATGCGAAGTGTGGGATGCATCGTCGATTTATCCAGCGTGACGCAATCGCGTCTAGCGACATATCGCATGTTAAATTATCTATTTATTATGTTGTTGGGAAAAATAAACGAGTGAAACGGACGATTAATAGTTCATCGTTTATACAATGTTAGTAGGAATGATTTTTATGGGATTATTGAGTGGATTTCATGAGCACGTTAATTATGAGGGATAGATAAAGCTATTTTACACTTTTGTGCATTTATTTTCGTGCATCAATAACTATTATTGTTTTTTAATCTTTAGGGGAGGTTGGGGTAAAATGGACACTTGACTTTTTTTTTTAAATGTTAATGACGGCTTGAAATGTTGATAAAATTTAATAATTGTTTTTTCATCGCAAAGAACAATTATTTTCCTCTGCAATGAGCCCAAACTGAGCTCAATTGATAAATTTGTTTCTCAGTTATGAGTAATTAAAACAAAAGTCTAAAATGTCCATTTTACCCCACTCTCCCCTAATTATTAATGTATTATTCAATCTCATTAATTTTTTCATGAATAGAGACTTTAGTAATTTACGTGTGCCTCCGAATTTTTCAATTTGCGAATTAATAATAATTCAATTTTTTCCGTCATATAGAGGTCCGCAAAGTCGACAAGAGAATCGTCCAACGAGAATTAAATAAAGAGAACCCGTTCAGAAGCAAATTGCTAATTCAAAAAAATGCAACTGTCCACTTGCGCAAAGTTATGCCTTGAATTTTTACGTTGGCTATGATATCTGAGGAATTGCCCGTGAAACGTCAGGAATTTGCTGGAGAATTTTAACTCTCCGCAGTGAAAAAAATTCCAGGGATAAGTAACTCAAAGGGAAACTTTGAATATTTTCAACTCAAGGACAGAGTTTCACGCTTTTTTCTTTTTCCTCTGGATTTTTTTCCCCTTAAGAATTTAATAGATAACCACCTAATTTCATCACTCTACCAGTGAATTTATAAAAATTCATTCATTATTGCTTGCATTTTGACGCGGCAGTCGAGGCATTGTGACGAAACGAGTGCAGGTGGCAGAAAATAATTGCACAAGCCTCTTTACCCCCTTTTGCTTTCATCCATGAACACCAATCGTCTCACAAAACCATCTTACTCTCTATCACCACTTGGAAACAACAAACTGTCACGGTGAATGTCTCGAAGCTGAATAAATGCGCCAGTCCGGCTGCTGTGATATCCTTGCTGTCACTCTCGCTCATTGGAGAAAAAAAAATGCCAAGAAACAAAAAAAAAACTTTCTCAACCTCGTAAAATTAATTTGCGTCATTCTAATCGTTATTCAATTACCCCGGGGTACGGCCGAACATTTTGCCGGTCAATATGAAGTTTGAGAGCGGCTCTAACGATGCGAGTGCATTCTGCAGTGTCATAACACTTGATTTTCCCTTTCGTTAACTAAAATTCATGCGGCAAAAAATGATTAAAATTGCCAATTGGTTTTATGTGCGATAATCCTGTTTCATCACTTCTCACGTTCACCACAAAGTGAATAGATCGGAAAGTACAGTTTCATGATCCACTCCGGGTATTTGTAATCGGCGCGAATACATGGCATTTGAGGTATAAAACGGCGACGCAGTCACGCAGCCAGCGGGAGGGGGTGTGGAGAGGCCCTTTCACGAATAGCCGCAAGGCCCCGAACGATACTTGACGGGGCATTGTTGTTTGTTGTTTAAGTCTACTTGGGCCGCCCCCCCGCCCCGGCCCCTCCCGCTGTCCGCCCGTTGCCCCCCTCAAAGCAAAGGTGCGCGCAAACGAAAAAACCCATAAGTGGGTGAGGCTAGAATATGAGAAACAAAGGAGATACATGGAGCGTGGAAAATAATGCCTCTGGAGTGAAAAGGAAGCAGTGGACTTTCGGGCCATTTGCAAGGGCTATGGGAATATCCTGGAAGCGTGGCCTTGAGTTACCGAATGAAAATATTTATGGAAATGTAATTTATACTGTGGATTTAACCATTTTCAGTCATCAAATTTGTTAATTAAATTGGGTGAGAAAGATTTGAAAAATATAATTGATATTCTGCGTCAGTCAAATTATAATTTGCACAGAATTATTTTTTTTTACATTCGCACAATCTTTTTTTATGTATGGAATCGATTGTTTATAAATTATTTATGGACAATGCTCGTACTTTCAAAAAATTGATATGTTTAAATGATTTCATTGATCTTCCTTCAAAAGCAAACTTTCTGATTTTTTTTAGATTTTTAAAATGTTTTTTAACGATCCAACATCGAAATTCAACTTCAAAGTTTAAATTATAAAAACAATTGTCAAATATCCGGAAACTTGGGGTCAAGGGGAGCTCAAAGGGAAGCTCTGATGGTCGATTACAAAACTAGAAAAACATTTGGAATTAATTAAAAACAATTGATTTATCTTTTCGAAAAAAAATGGAATTTAATTTTCGGTAAAAATTATGCATTCGGGTCTCGGCAATCCGTCAGTCCCAGGTATTCCTTGGAAGAAAATGATAATTGGACACACATAGCGACACACGTATCACAACAGCACTCTCTTCTCCCTCACCTGGAACGAATCGAATATCCTGGGAATCAATTGGCTCTTATTCCTCAAAACTTTCACCCAAACGGTCTGAAATTCTCCAATTTATTTTTTCTCTCCACTCGTCACCTCCCTGTGAGAACTGGGGAGCTTGCGCAAGCCCGGGGAGCACAAATAACCGCGCAAAATATGCATGTGAGGATAATTAAAGCACGAAGTAAATTCCACCGATATAATTACGAGTTACCAGGGGGGATGAGAAATTGAGCGACTCGGTGATTTTAACAGCCTCCGTCTGGCCGTCTACGGGCCTCTCTGGTATGCCTCGCGTATGCAAAAACCATTAAAAATGTTTTTTAACGACTTTTAAGGTGGTGGCTACCAAGGTGCGCCACTCGTTAGTAATACGATTGACCGTATGTCATTTCAACGCATCCGGCTGCCACTTCGAGGTCTCTGTCAGGCGTTTTTTTCTCTCATTTCCACACTTTCCTTATTCCCATTCCGTTCATCCTTCGTCGAAAATAAAAATTCCACGGCTGCATTCACCAGCAGAATGAGGAAACGAAGATCAATAATTTATCATGGAAACAATAATTACGAAATGGGGAAAGAGGGAAAAGCGAAGTGGACACGGGTTACATGGGATTCATTGCGAGTGAATCTCGCGCACGTTTTTGTTAGTCGAGAGTGTTACACGCCCGTCGGGGAGATAAACCAAGCGGCGAGACTTTCGCTGGCAGGGTAAAAGCATCTTCGGCCGTGTCATTTCCTCGAGCTCGATGTTGTGTACTTGTGAACACCGACAAGAGTACTCTCTCAGTTGATCAATTATTTACATTTCAGTAGCGAAGTGGTAAAACGGTTTGAGTCGACTTATCTCCTGGTTGAGTTTTTGAGGAATATTCCCGAATCCAAGGGTGATAGCGAAATTTTCGTTATTAGATTTGTTGTAGCTCTCGATCGGCTCTACAAAAAAGGTTCCAACAAAAATTTTGATATCTCCCTTGGATTCCGAGATATTCAGTGAAAACTGGTTAATAATAAAAATTGACTCATACCGTTTAAAAAAAAAACGTTACAAGTTTTTTAAAATAAGCGAAGCACAATATTAAATTTATTTAATGCCGCTATTAAATTGTACGCTATTAAATTTATTTAATATTGTGCTTTTTTTATTTATTTATTTGAAAAACGGTGGTATTTATTTAAAAAGCAGTGGTTAAACGGTTTGAGTCGACTCATCTCCTGGTTGAGTTTTTGAGGAATATTTCCGAATCCAAGGGACATAGCGAAATTTTCGTCATTAGATTTGTTGTAGCTCTCGATCGGCTCTACAAAAAAGGTTCCAACAAAAATTTTGATATCTCCCTTGGATTCCGAGATATTCAGTGAAAACTGGTTAATAGTAAAAATTGACTCGTACCGTTTAAAAAAAAAA